CCCAGTCAGTTCACGTTTGTAAGACCGTGAACAGACTAAATTAAACAGCGCGTATCAGTTCGACATCACGGTCCAGGAGGAATGTTCATGACCGTGAACTAAGACTGTGAACTGACTACGACCAAGGTATAAAAGGAGGACTGAGCTGAAGGAAAAGGGGAGAGACCTAGTGTGATAAACTTCTTCTTCTTCTTCTTCTTCAGATTTCTAGAGTGAGAAAGTGACGAACCAAAGAAGAGAAGAAGCTAGGTTTCATCTTCAAACAAGGTTTTGGGAATTCCTTCCCCAAAGGAGGATCTCTTCAGCACATGGAGCAAGACTAGCATATCCATGATGGTTTCCCTTCTTCTCCCTTGTGTTTTCCCTTCTCCTAGCATGGAGTAGTCCCTTATTTCACTTGGGTGTTTGTAAACCCTAGCTACAATTATGTGAATGTTTGTATGAGTTGAATGATTTGTGTGTGGATGTGTTTTAATATGAATTTGGAGGTATTTTCATGGAATATTGTGTTGTGTGTTTGCCTATCAATCTATTTGCCATTCTAACCTAGGTAGAGAGAAAACTCCCTTTCTTTGAAAGACGCTTGCAAAGCTGGGTTTTTTTAGGCAAATCTTGTCTCCTATCTAAGTTAATGTAGGGCAACCCTCTTTGTTCGTATTATCACCTAGGGTTGGTTGTAATTTAGCTGTCCAAACTCCGATTCGAGGGTGAAGTCTTGGCAACCCTTAGTCAATAGGTCAAGAGAGATACTTTGGTGGGTTGAATCGAATTCCCTTGACCTATTGACAAAGAGAGTGGTGTTTGCTCACTTGTTCACTTGACCAGAGGTTCATCGAGCTTACGGGAAGTTTGAAGATAAATGGGGTCCCCGAGGACGCTTTGAAGTTGAGACTATTTCCCTACTCTCTTGCGAGGAATGCGTTTCGAAGGCTCAACAATAGACTGGCTCTCTTGATCACCTCGTGGGATGACTTGGTCAACAAGTTCATGACTCGATATTGTCCTCCTTCCAAGACGACGGAGTGGTGCAAGAAGATCACTCATTTCGAGCAAAAGGAGGATGAGTCATTGAGGGATACATGGGAGAGATACTCTGACCTTACTACAGACTAGGATGGTGAAGAGTATTTATAGAACTCTTCTCCTAATCCCAAACAGAAAAACAAACACCTTTTCCAAACCTACAAGGAAAAGGCCGAAACAAAGCCCAATCCCAAACCCAAACAGAATAGGCCCAAAACACAAAACAAACCCAAATCAAATTCAAGTCATATCCTAACATTGTCAGAACAGAAGCGTGCAATCGACAATCCAAATCAAAACGAACGAACACAAATTTAACGTGGTTCACTAACACAATGTGTGCTAGCTAATCCACGGGCAGAGGAGACAAATTTCACTAATTTGAGGAGAGTACAGGTTACAAACCAAATTCCAAATGGACAAACCAAACAAACTAACCTGACTGACCTTACTACAGACTAGGATGGTGAAGAGTATTTATAGAACTCTTCTCCTAATCCCAAACAGAAAAACAAACACCTTTTCCAAACCTACAAGGAAAAGGCCGAAACAAAGCCCAATCCCAAACCCAAACAGAATAGGCCCAAAACACAAAACAAACCCAAATCAAATTCAAGTCATATCCTAACAATCTCTACCTTGACTTGAATTCTCTCTCAAATACCAGATGTACCAGACGCAACCAAGGTTGCCAGATGTACCCAGACGCGATACATATCGCCAGACGTATCTAAATGCGATCGAAACCGCCAAACTCAAACGCGATGCAAATCGCCAAACTCAGATGCAATCAGAATTGTCAGACGTACTAACTCCTCCAAATCAGCTGTAACCGAATCTCCGCTGCCTCCAAATGCCCCTAAGGGCGGTCAACAAATCAAAACATGCAGCAAGTCCAACCCATGTTGGGACTTGCCATGCAGAACCAACTTGGTGTTATTTCCATCGATAACACCAACATCAAATATACTACTAACTCCAAACCTGCAACTCCAAATTGACTTCTCGATCTTCAAATCCAGAACAAACATCCTTGATGATCGGAGTTTCTAACCACCACACCGATACAATAACCAAAATTCTGTCAAACCCTAACCAACCACCTCAACGGAACTTGGTGTCAATCGTTCGCAAAAGTTCCCAACTCAAACTTCAACTCCAAGGAAACACCAAATTTCAAAGTCCATAACGAGACAAACGCTAGTTGCAACTTCCACAAATACTAATGAATTGTGATTACTCCAAATTGTGATAATAATCAGAACTCCAAATAAAACAAAACTTCAACCAGGCCACTTCGTCTGCTTCTCCTCCAGAATTGGCGGCAAACAATTGTGATTGATAATCACAATAATCCTACCCCAAAGCAACAAATCCAACCTTTTCAAATCAACAACGACGAATTCCAAAGAACCAACCCGATGCTCCAACGCCAAAGGAACGATGCGAACATCGACTTCCAATCAATCAATCTAGCAAGTAGCAACCAGCAACGTGATCCCAAAATCCACAGACAGTTTCAAATAATCCAAAGATCAACCGCGGCTCTGATACCACTTGTCATAACCGGGTTGCTCATTAGTACGATATTGTCCGCTTTGGGCCAAGCCCGCACGGTTTTACTCTTGGGTGTCCTCCCCAAAAGGCCTCGTACTAATTGGGCTAGGTGGACTCTAATATACAAGGGTTCCTTCCCTTGTATTACCGATGTGGTACTTGGATTGTCCCTTAACACAACCCTTAGTCAATAGGTCAAGAGAGCTACTTTGGTGGGTTGAATCGAATTCCCTTGACCTATTGACAAAGAGAGTGGTGTTTGCTCACTTGTTCACTTGACCAGAGGTTCATCGAGCTTACGGGAAGTTTGAAGATAAATGGGGTCCCCGAGGACGCTTTGAAGTTGAGACTATTTCCCTACTCTCTTGCGAGGAATGCGTTTCGAAGGCTCAACAATAGACTGGCTCTCTTGATCACCTCGTGGGATGACTTGGTCAACAAGTTCATAACTCGATATTGTCCTCCTTCCAAGACGACGGAGTAGTGCAAGAAGATCACTCATTTCGAGCAAAAGGAGGATGAGTCATTGAGGGATACATGGGAGAGATACTCTGATTACTTCCTTCAATGCCCACGCCACATATTCGAGGAGCAATTTTGGATCGAGACCTTCTATGGCGGTCTCCACCAAGAGGACAATATTCACATTGACTCTTTATGTCAAGAGAAGTTGATGAACAAGACTCCATCCGAAGTGACCGAGTTGCTCGAGGACATGGCGACAAAAGGGTATGATTGGGGTTTGACGAGGAGTGGTAAGAAGAGTACCGAAAGAGGAGTGCGAAGTGTGCTTGAATTTTCTAGAATGGTGTCTATATATGGATAATTTGTGTTGAGAGATTGATATTTGACTTTTATTTTGATAAAAACTTGTTATTGTAATTTTTTTACGACAAAAAACCATGAGTATCCATGAACCCGCGGATACCCAGCGAGTTGGGTTGGGTTTGAGTTTTTCAAACCCAGTGAGTTTTACCTCGAGGTTTTTTTCACGGATAAACCCATGGGTTTGGGTTTGTCAAAACCCGACCCAACCCTACCCATTGCCATCCCTAGATGCTGCCCTCCACAATATACATGAGCCAAAAGCATTATTACATCCATACAAATAATTCAATATTCGGCTCATTTACATCCAACCAATGAGTCGGGTTATAAGCTAGTTTTATTTAAAATTCGGAAATGGACCAACAGGTCGGGTGATAACCAATACTGGTTGAACCCAATTAATACCGACCATAATTTGGTGGTGGGCCCCACCATAAAGCCTAAACAAAGGGTAAAATACCTAGAGTACCACTAAAGTATGAGAAATGGAGGAGCTATACCACTTAACTAAACATAGGGTATCGCGTACGACTGAACTCTATTATATGTGGACCCGGTACTACTTAAGCTTACTGCTAAGTGCATTCCATTAAAGTTGATAGAATATTCTTGGAATATTTCGTTTTTTAAATTTCATATTTGGTCCTTCTACTTTTCTTATTTTAGAAATTCTTTTTGAACTTATGAAGAACATCATTTTTTATTGTTTAGTTGGAATTCTCTTTTGAATACTTGATACCAAACCAATTTTTGAATAGAAAATTTAGAATCAATTATCATTATAAGTATTTACAATTACCATTATGTGTTCTAATAATTGAATAATTCACTGAAGCAAATATATCGTAGGAATTCTATCTCGATATAAATAATATGAGAATGTTATATTTAGTTCTCTTACATCATGCTGACGTTGTCTAATTTTCCATGTTCAATCTCCTTTAAATTCTCTAATATATATTGTAGATGTTTCCTATTATTTAAATTTACTAATTCTAAATCTCTTCATATAGTCATATTTTCTTTTCTACATTTTTTACTGAATGTTGTAGTTTTTATAGTTTATTTATTACTTGGTTACTTTCCGTCTCTTTTCGTTCTAAATTATTTTCAATTAGCGGAATATGTTTAATTCTTTCAGATTGTGTTCCATTTATCCTTCTTTAATTATGATGTGTTGATGATCAATTAGGTTCTGTTTTAACTATTTCTAATGGTGTTTCTAACTGAATTAGGGGGTTTAAATATATATTTAATCATTCTAGTATATTTATTATTCTCCTTAATATTTTTTATTATTTTTACTAATTTATCTATTTTATTGAAAAAATTATTAGCCATTCTAGTAATAATATGTTTAGAAGGTTTTCTAATTATTATATTAGATAAAAACTTGTTGAAATATAATTTTGGATGTTTTGAAAAGTTTTGGGTATCAAAAAGTATTTAAAAATTTGGGTTGAATGGAAAAGTAACGAATGTACATTTTGACGACTTTAATGATATCCAACGTCTTATTCAAATTTATGTAGTAGATTTATCTCAATTCTTAAAATTAAACAAACAAGACTTTGAGATATTTTTTTTCTCTCGCTCTCTCGCTCGCCAGTGGGTCTCTTCTCTTTCTTCCAGTTAATTTCGCTGCCGCTGCTCCCAACTGAATCAGAATAACAGATCCCAGAAGCGGCTCGCGGACGGCAGAAACGAAGAAAGGAAACCAGCCGACGATCAATCCCATAGCTTGTTCCAATTAGTGCTTCCCCAATTGTGACGCGAGAAGCAGAGTTGCAGCGATAACCAAGGGGAGAGAGATGGTGACCAAAACGGAGGAGAGTCAATTGAACAAGCTCGAGAACCAGGTCGAAAATGGCGGGGGAGGCGCCTGGGAGTACCTTTGCCTGGCTAGGAAGCTCAAGGTCAGGCGTTCCGATAAGGTGCTCAAGTACGGGCTGTCCATCCTGAATGACTCCCGAAAGCGATCCAGTCTCGGTCCCGATGGTGCGTCTTTGTTGTTGTTCCCCATTCGAATTGCAGTTTAATTCTTCCCGAAATGATTTTGCTTAGTGATCTGTAGGATGAGTTGAGGGGTGATTTGTGTGGTTTGGATTTGCGGGTGTGTTGTACAGTTGGGAGGTTGATTTGATTGTATTTTGAGCTGATTTGGGGTTCTTTTGAAGAGAATATTTGTTGGAACTCTGGTTTACAGAAGTGATTGTGATGCTTTCGAGTGAACCCTATTCAAGCAAACTCCAATCCAGTATTGGTTTCTATACATAACTGGTTTGGTAGTTGCAGAGGATTTTTCGTTAGCTACTTAGACTGACAAACACTTGGTTGTGAGGTCGAAGGTGTGATTCGGAGAAGAATTTTTCATTTGGTACAAATCTGGGTGCCAAGATGTGTTTTTTTAGTTGAGTGGAAGGAGACATGGCTTGGTGAAAGGTGTCTGATTCTGTCTTGGTCATAGAGCTAGAAGAGAATGAATATCTGCTAAAGCGTATGAGAGCTTACTAGCTCTCATGTAAATTGTAACTATGCCCCGGCTGTTGTTTGCGATTCATGTCAAACTACTATGATTAACTCCTGTCTTTTATTGCAGAGTGGACCCTATACGAACAAGTAGCTGTTGCAGCTATGGACTGCCACGCTGTTGATGTGGCAAAGGTACTGATCCTTCCTTTTCGAACTTACATCCTTCTTTAGTTACTAGACAGTATTGATGTTGGCTTAGCTTGTGAGAGGCTTAATTCAGAACTCGCTGTGTCTACTTGGACTGTTTTACTAGGTGCAGCACAGACCAAAGAATGGGCTTTGTTGTGAACTTATGTATCTTAATGTTTATTAACTAATTCCGTCATTGATTTATTAGTTTCACCAGGCATTGGTGACTTGACTTACTAGTTTGACCTGGTTTAATAGAGGCTAACATGTATACTATTTTTATGTTAGTTGATCAATTAACTATCTTTCCTACTCTGGTTGAGTCTTCTTGATCCATATTTGGTTGAGGACTCACTATCCTGATGCCATTATTTGAAGTGCAAGTGACATAGTTCTGTTATCTTTTGTAGGATTGCATAAGTGCATTGCAGAAGAAGTTTCCAGAGAGCAAAAGAGTTGGTAAGTAAACGTAGCCTTCAATGCCATTTCAGTACCCATTTTGAACCAGCTTCCAAGTTGTTCATGGTTCATGCTTCCCCAACTTTGTCACTAAATTCCTCTAAGTTCATGATCTGCATGCTCTTACTGGCCATCCATTTTGAGCTTGAGTCACTAGCCTGGCTGTAATTGCAGTACTTAACTATACCCACCACACTTGATGTTTTGGTTATCTTTTGGTTTAAATCACAGGCAGGTTGGAAGCAATGTTACTTGAAGCAAAGGGATCCTGGGAAGATGCAGAGGCGGCTTACTCAAGCCTTCTGGAGGACAATCCTTTTGATCAAGTAATTGCCTTAGAATTATAAAGTTACACTTTCTTATTAAGAGGATTACGTGAAGAGTTCCCCGCACAATGTGATTTCTGGTTTTGTGTTCATTCTGCAGGTAATCCACAAGAGAAGGGTTGCTATAGCAAAGGCTCAGGGCAACATTTCTGCAGCCATTGAATGGCTAAACAAATATCTGGAAATGTGAGTCCCTTCTTGGAATCTTACTTCCGTAAGTTCAAGTCACCAGGGCAACCCCTCATTTCTTGCTTGTGGCCCTGTTGCTTTAATGAGTTTAAGCTTATTAGTTAAGTTTATTTGTTCAATCAATAATGAGTAATGCCACATTATGAGATAGTATGCCATTCTAGAAAGTCAACTTCTTGAGTCGAGCTCCAACACATTATTGACTTGGCATCGTTCTTATCTTATTTTCAGATTTATGGCGGATCATGATGCATGGAGAGAACTTGCAGAGATATACGTTTCCCTACAAATGTGAGAGGATTTGACTGAATCATGCTACTTCCATTTGTAATATTACATCCATTTGTAGGGCCAGAAGCCTGATCTATATACGATTATATCCATAAATAAATTAGGTACAAGCAAGCTGCTTTCTGCTATGAGGAACTGATACTATCTCAACCTACTGTTCCACTCTACCATCTTGCCTATGCTGACGTAAGTCTCCTTTTCCCATCCAAGTTTGTATTCCATTACCCACTTTGGATTATGCAAAACCGAAATCAGGCATTTTTTTGTTTGCAATGAACAGGTACTCTATACACTCGGCGGACTAGAAAACCTTCAGACAGCAAAGAAATACTACTCCTCCACCATAGATTTGTCTGGAGGCAAGAACAACAGGGCTCTCTTTGGCATCTGCCTGGTTAGTTGTGCTAACAAGCCTAATTCAGGTTCCCTGCATCTTGGCCTGGAACTATTGTTCTTATCTTCAGTCATGACTGACCAAGAATTTGCTGCGTCTATTTTTTTCTTCTTCAAATTGTCCAGTGTACCTCAGCCATTTCACAACTGGCGAGAGGAAGGAACAGGGAAGACAAGGACAGTAGTTCAGATCTGCCATCTCTGGCCTCAGCTGCTCTCGAGAAAGAGTACAAGCTGCACGCTTCCGATAAGCTCTCTGTCCTCACCTCAACTTTGAAATGCTTGAGAGTGTCTTCGTAATAACTCTTCATGCCCAAATCATGTGAAAAGGGAAAGCACACAGACTGCTGAACCTTGGGAAAGTGTTTCGGAGATTTGGCTTCGCATTATGGTTGATCCGAAATTTCACTTCTTCGTGGATGATTTCGACATGAGAACATAAACTGTATGATTCTTTAAGAGTTTGGTTTTGATTGTTTAGGTAGCGAAAGAGTGTAGTCAGACACACAGAAGGATAGCTTGAGATGTCAGATTATTTCTAGTTTAAACTGGCTTCAATTTGGCCTGATTGTCCATAATGACTGAAAGATCCATCGTTGGTAGGGATGGCAATGGGGCGGGTTTGCCTAAACCATCCCCATCCCCGCTTTCAAATATCCAAACCCATACCCGTCCCATACCCATGCGGGGAAGGATTTGCAAACCCATCCCCATACCCGTGGGTTTTGGGTACCCATGGGTAATACCCGCCCCGTACATCCTACATTATAATAGCTAAAATTTTACATACAAAAATTTCAATTATAATACTAAACGCACCTACTATTTCATAAAGTCGACAAAGAGACAATCATTCTTAATACTATTCTAAGCATCTTATTCTAAAACATCCAATAATCCATAAGATTGAGTAACAATATAAGCCAAATCATTATTATCTGACTTTGGTACATCTATTAAGTAATAAATAACTGACTTTGGTACATCTATTAAGTAATAAATAACTTACTAACATAATGTTGTAAACATGAGGGAAAAGTCAAAGAATGAAGGAAGATTTGGAGGAAATGAATTATGTTTTGATTTGGGTGGTCACTCAATTGTATTTCTACTATTTATTTTCACGAGTTACCCTTGCTATTAATGATAGATTACAATTTAATTAATGTACATTTTATATGTGAAGAAATATTCTTGGTGGGGCGGGTATGGGTATGGGTCGGGGGAGGCTAAACCCATACCCGCCCCATACCCATCAAACTTTTTGCGGGTCGGGGGCGGTCGGATACCCGCGGTAATGGATTTGATTGCCATCCCTAATCGTTGGTGAGACCTCCCATTTTTAGATACTTAAGGAATGGTCTGTCCCTTTCTTTTTTGCTGCTAATTCGAAAATAGTGAAAACTCCAATTTGCCAGTTAGATGGACAAAGGTGTAGGGATAACCAAATTGGAGGGATTGTTTTTTTTTTCTTATTACAACCGGAATGTAACAACGAGAAAATAAAGATAGACGGTCTTTCAACCCAAACTTCCTGAATATCCCAATTGTAGAGTGTGTGGGCCATCATATAGGCTACTTTATTGCATTCTCTCTTAGTGAATGACAACAAATTCTCCAGACCTCGGCCTGTATTTTATCATTGAGTCGACATGCTTGCAGAGAAGACTAGTTGCATTGCACTGGTTGAGTTTGGAAGTCGCCTCCAAATAGTTTGTATCGACGATTTCCACCATCTTCAGAGCAAAAGCAAGCAAAAGCAATTGCTTGAAGATTTGCAATCTACATGACCACTAGTGTCGCTCTCTTCTCACCGCCGTTAAAAGACACTTTCTCTCTGAATGTTGCACCACTATGTCATATGTCGATCCCTGTTTCGCTAAAATAGTTGCATCGACATTAACAATCAACCATCCCTTATGCGGCCTTTTCTAGGTAAGATTTCTTGCTACTCACACGCCTTCCGATGACATGAATTGTATTCATTCCAGTTGGATAGGGCTTTGCCAGCAATTTCCAACTCCTCTAGTTTCTAATTGTTAAAGAGGTGATTATTCCTCTCGTTTCATAGATTCTAGAGAACCATGGTGAATTTTGAAAGAGACTCATTATCCACTTCACATATAACCTCACATAACCAAGTTTTGCATGGTAGATCCTTTCCTCTTTAAAAAAGATATAAGAAATCAGCAGGAGACCATACTCTTCTAGACCAAGAGCGTTCCTGAACATGTGATCTTGGGTTTCCTCTAGTTTACAGAAAGGGCACTCAATTGGTGCATCTTTCTTCCTTGATTCAATGTTTTCCCTTTGTGTAGAACATAGTGAAGAAAACGTCAAATGAAGGTGTTCACCTTAGGCAGTATGTCAATGCCCAAACTCGTTTCCAATTCACAGAGCCATAGATCTCTCCTACTTCCTATTTAATCTCTTCGTCTTTCTCCTTCTACATCCAAACAAAATAGGTCGACCTAGTCGTATAAGCTTCCGGTTTCTAAAGCACCACACTTGGCAATCTAGTGTATGCTTCTTTTGGATAGGAATACCCATAATTCTCATTATATTTGTATAATTGAAATGATTTTGCAGTATGTTAGTCCCCCAAACACGATTTCATGATCAATCCCATTCGAGACCCTTGCGAGAACTCCCAACGTGATAACTGGTGAAATGATGACAAAATTTTCCTCTTCTACACCAGGATCCCATTTATCACCCCTCACTTTCACATTGTACTATTTCCCACTCTAACGGGTTTAATGTCGAACCAAATCTTGTGCAACCATCAGAGTTCACCAAATTTAGCTAGGAAAACAACCTCCCTAACATGTAGCACATCAGTGTTAGGATAGTACTTACCCTTTAAGACTCTGGCTACCAAGGAATCTGAATTTTGTATAAGATTCTAAATATGATTTTTCTAGTAGGGCGAGATTAAAAACCTTTAAATCCTTAAAGTCAAATGCTCCATGTGGTCATAGGCTCACACGGTTTCTTCCAAGCTTGCCAAAGAATCCTCCTTTCTTCTGGCCCCACCAAAAACACATTATAGCACTCTTTATCTCTTAAAGAACTCCATTAGGCACTAGAAATACAAATGTTAAGCTAAGCCTGAGCTACAATTTTAATGATCACTTCTTTTGCATAATTTCAAAGTGTCTAGCTTTTTCATAGTTTAATCTTCCTTCATACTTTATCCATAAGCACCCCAAAAGCATAATTCTTGTCTTGCGTATCACAACATGTAAGTTGAGATATTTAGCATGATGGTCCACTTGTTTCATACCCAAAATGTTAGCAAAAATGACATGTTGTTATATATCAACATTAGGACTAAAGATAACTCAGATTTTTGAAGGTTGACCCTTTGTCTCGACTCTCTCTCATATATCCTTAGTATGTCTCCTAGTTGTGTACATTTGTGTAGTTTCTCTTGTGAAAAAATGTTATCATAAGCAAATAATAGATGTGATATAATAGGGCCTCTCCTTGAAACTTGAATGCTATGTAATTTTCCCTCTCCAATCGCTTCCAAGGTAATGGATGACAATCCCTCTACACATAATAGAAAGACATAGGGCGAGATAGGGTCTCTGTGCCTCAAACCCCTTCCTGTTACAAATATAGGTGATTTTTGTTCATTGATTACAACAACAAAGAAGATCGTAGTTGTCGGAATTGAGCAGCTCCCATTAGTACGATATTGTTCGCTTTGGGCCAAGTCTGCACGGTTTTACTTTTGGGTATCCTCCCCAAAAGGCGTCATACTAATTGGGTAGGTGGACACTTATATACAAGGGTCCCTTCCCTTGTATTACCAATGTGGTACTTGGATTTTCCCATAACAATCCTCCCCTCAAGACAAGGACCACGAACTTCGTGTCCTCTTCTTAACGATTATATTGATATGCAAGACACCTTGTATCGATGAGCTTCTCGGTACAAGGATTTTTCCCAGATGCAGAACTCTCTTTGATATGCTTTCCAAACGCGGAATTCTCTTTGATCCGCCAAACAGACGTGGATCTCTCATGGATGCACCAAACATATGCATATATCAAATCATGAGGTCACCGAATGAGGGTCCCACCAAACTAACATCCACCGCCCCGGATCGAACCGAATTAGGCTCTGGTACCACTTGTCAAAATTGGCCAGCTCCATTAGTACGATATTGTCCATTTAGGGTCAAGCCCGCACGGTTTTACTTTTGGGTTCCTTCCCAAAAGGCCTCGTACTAATTGAGCTTGGTGGACACTAATATACAAGGGTTCCTTCACTTGTATTTCCGATGTGGTACTTGGATTGTCCAATAACAGTGGTAATGCAATGCATAATTAGATTGATACCCATATGTCTACGAAACCCATTCTAATCATCATGGATTTAAAAAAAAATCATAATTTAATCAATCATAGGCAATACCCATATGTCTACGAAACCCATTCTAATCATCATGGATTTAAAAAAAAAAATCATAATTTAATCAATCATAGGCTTTTGCAATGTCTAGTTTTGTTGTCACAAAGACTTTTTTGTTTGTTTCTTTCTTATTTTTCATGGCATGAAAATATACAATGGCCACCATGACATTGTAAGTATGGGTAGAACACGGTCCGGCCCCAATCCGATTTTTTCAGAAATACGCCAACCCGAAAATGGATTGGGTCCAGTCGGGTCTATCCCGATCCGGTCTATCCGGTTCTAACCCATACCGGCCCTGCCTAGAAAATTTTACTGCATATACCCCTTTTGTTGGAATGCAGACAACCTGTTTCTACATAATTTTTAGAAAAACAAGCCAAACATTTTCCAATACCAAATTACAACAAACTACCTATTACAAAACCAAAGTCTAATTCAAAACTTCAAAGTTGCGGCTTGAGTTGTTGTGGTGTTGCTAGTTGATACTAGTTCTTGTTCTTGAGGTGCCTGTTTCGTCGCCAACAGAAAATACTAGTAGTAAGACCATTGTTACTACTCTTAACAGGTGCCCTTGAAGCTTGTGCTTGCTTCCTACTAGGAAGAGGAGGCAAATTATCATCTCCCCTTGAAGCTGGTATGTACTCGCTTCTAAAAACCATGCACTACACAAAGCCACAAACATCAATATCAAGAAGAAGGATTCCACACCAATATAAGCATACAATCAAAATCATAAAATGCATGTTTTTGGGACTCAATTCAATAACCTACCCGAAAGACTAGTCTAAAAACTAGAACTATTCAATTCCATCAACTCCCCCAAGTGCTCTCTGCAACTGTAGTTTGGCAATTGGCAGCGACCTTGGTGCAGAATTAATTCATCACATTCAGAAAATAAAAGCCAAGACCTCATCAATTTAAAACTGCTTCTCCTTTCTCCATCAAAGAGCAAACACAAATTAATATACTCATCCAGCTACTGCTCCCCTCCATCTTTCTGATTTCGGCGGCCGCTGCCTGCTGGTCGTTGATAGTTGGTGGAGCACGCTTCAACAAGGAATGCAGAGTAGAGAGCCGGGACCGATGGCGAGAGGTGTGAAGATGGATGATTAGAGATGGTGAGAGGCGTGGTGTGGCCCGAAGGCGACGAGCTGGGATCGAAGGCAAAGAGCTGTGACCGAGAGCAACGAGTTGTGGAGAACTGGAGATGGATGAAGGATGAAGGATGGAAATGGAACTAGAATTTTGGAAGGAGGAAGGAATAAGGATGGAAGTGGCCATGGATTTCTTAAGAGTTAGGGAAAAATTGCTTTGGGCGGACAGTTTATA